TCCAACTCCCCCATGAGTTAGAACTAAATCACTACATCTTACATCAAAACTTCTTGGACTCTCCGTGAATTCTTCCCATCGACTTCCTCCTGATACTTCCCGAATGCAGTGAATAATCCATACCCCGGCATCATTTTGTCGCCCATTTGTCGTTGTTTTATATGCACCTAGTTCAGCAGTTCCACCCTAATACCGTTCGTTCAGGTACTGTGGTCCCGTGGAGGAAAGCTTATCGCAGAAGGATCCTTGACTACAGCAGATGATAGCAGAATCAGTGCTTATAGAGCATCTTCCGAATACTTTTTACGAATTAAGAATGTCTCAGCTACAGATGAAGGCCGGTACAGGATTACCGTCAGCGGAATGGGCGCTGACGCTACTTTCGAGGTAACCGGACTTTTCCTTGTTACTTCCCGAAGGCGGTGAGTAATCCGTACCTGTCATCAGTTCACGGAGCATCTGTTTCATCCGGCTTATTCAAGGTGAAGCAGAGTAGCCCCTAAAGTTTCCGGCCTGAAATTGAGGTGTCCTCATCGGGAACTGTTACTGACGGATAAAATCGATATTTCAACTTCACTTTTCATAGCAATAGTACAATCAATCAATAACTGCCTACGAATCTGTGACACCGTACAATCTATGAATTCTTTTTCCTATTTCTTGTGTATAATCAAACCTAGTCGGGACCTTTTTCATGTTGATCTTCTGACGTACACATTCTAAGGTCATGGGCGAGATCCTCGCCATTGATAAGGGAAACGATCTATAAACAACCGTAAATATTTCTTCAAAAATTGATCGATTTTTGGGAAGAGCCGGACCGTAGTTCGATGGTGTCTGACAATCGTAATGGTGGTTTGAAGCCCGATGAACAAGTTTATTGTCCCGATTGCGCAACATGTCGGACGTACATGGGAGGTTCCCAAAGGGAATAAAGGAGCGGCTGAATTTTGGAGCCCCTCGTCTGTGGGGAGAAACACCATACTGAAAGTTTTTGATCAAGAAGCTGTGTATGAGAACGAATTTATTTTTTTTTTTTGCTAGATTTTCAGCAAATAGGGACGCTTTTTCTTTGGATAGAAAAAGGTTCTTCAGATATCAGCCTCTACCAATGACAACTCTCACGTGCACTACTACAATTTAGGAACTCGTTTTAGTGATGAAAAAGTCTTCCTTCGTCTTTACTTTTTTCTACGAACCAGTGGTTTTTGAACCTTTCTATTGGATTTCACATCTCCTTCTGTTTGAGTAAGTGGTTATACAGGTTCGTTGGAAGGTGGTCCTTCAGATTTCATCGGTGTCACCGTCTCAGAAGCTCATGATTTGAAAAGTAATAAATTGCTGATTTTGTTGATCGAAGAGGTCATTAGGTTCGAAAATCATCTAATCGTCGTCGCTGATCGGCGTACGGTCTGAGGGACCATAAACCAATGACTGCCTACTAGTTACCGACTAAGGTGTACCTAACAGTAAGCTCTCAACGCTGAACTGATTAGTTTTAAGGAATTTTCCGTTGAAGCCAAGAATAACACTTAGTTCCGGAGGTGTACGAGAAGTTATATTCAGATTTTGTCGGGCAATCCCCTATTCCTTCCTTATCACCCAGTTTTTTTTTTNNTTTTTTTTTGAATGAGAACTTTTCATTTTCAATGGCTGAGCATTTATGATGTCTTTATACCAATTGCCATCGTTTGTTTCTGTATTCTTTTGAAGAAGTTCATTATCAGATATTTCTAATTCCATTTTGAAGAGTTCCTCCTCGAATTTTTCTTGTTTTTGTATGTGCGACCGGTGACGGGTGACTGTTGCTTTATTTCACAGCGTTTGCCGTGCACTGTCTCATTCCTAGTCCAAAGACCTATATCTGAACCAAAGGTTCTGGAATTAGGGCGGTACTTTTGAATGAATCGCATTGGGGTTCTGCTGATCGTCGATTTCAGCTCAAAACTCGTAACCTTTCTGATGACCCGTACTGCAAGCCAATTTACCCGTCATTCTCTCCTAAGTTCCAGGTCTGAGTTTGATATTCAGGCCGTTGGCCACCAAGCCGTTGTTGGTTAACAAGCCGAGGAATTCAGTCAGTAACCATTTCGCTCAAACGGAAATCATAGCACGCATGATGCGCCACCAGCTTCACCCTTTCATCTTACCTCCTCACCATTTCTGATTAGAATAAAAAATACGTATACTGAGACTGATAGTGCGCAACCGACATTATAACTTATGGCCAAAGGAACAGAAAGATAGGGATTTTCATCGTGGATATAGGTCCACTTCGATTGGGATTCATTTTTTCCCATAGCAGACATCTAAAATGTTCCTAAGCATGAAAGCTTTTATTCGCTCAGTACTTACGATACAATTTGTCGAATCTTACGATAAATTATTGCCTTTGATTCAACTGCATGTTTTCCAACAAAAGCCATCGACCTACACTGATGCAGGTCAAAGAGAATCCCTTACTTCGGGTTTGAGTTTCTGCAGGTTTACAGCTAGTCAGGTTGTTCCTAAGTGGAATTTCCTGACCTTTTCCACGACTTTGAAGACTTTTCTTGTCAGATTGCCTTTATTCTTCACCGATGAGAGGAAATGAACGAGCTTTCAGCTGAGGGTGTCGGCAGATTCCGTCAAGAGTGCCAGTAAAAACTGTCCATCTAATGAGAGACTGTGCCGCTCGGGTCACTGCCTTCCAGTATCTCAATTCTGTGATCGAATCGTTCAATGCCCAGATGGAGACGATGAGGAGCACTGTACCCGTAAGTAATTTGCACTTTACTGTTTTGTCTTTTTCCTATTTTGTTTTCCTTGTCAATGAAATGTGCAACAATTCTGTTGCCATAATAAGCTCCCATTTATTATAAGCAATCTTCGTCATACCATTTTCTGAACGTGGCACATTTCCGCAATGAAAGGGAATGTTCACGCCAACTGTATTTTTGTGGAGTGCAACATTTTTTGACTGACGGAATGGGTTTTTGAATAATTCAGCGGTCATCTGTTCGTCAACGGAGTTTCGTTGTGAATCCAGCAATTCATGCGTTCCATCGGTAGTGAGATGTGACGGATGGAGGGATTGTCACGATGGAACCGACGAAATGGTAAGTCATTGTTGCACACAATAACAATAAAAACATCTGAAGAACGAGCGACTGAGCAGAAGGGGAAGAAGCGCCTGAGAATTGTGACTTCTATGCAGTTTTGATGCCTCATTTTTTTGGACGACTGACGGTATCGGCATTACAGTGAACTCAGATAATGTGACTGAGCTTCCTGACTCTCAACTTTCTGATACAGTCTTGGATTTTGATAAATTTTCCTTTCAGACGCTTAAGATTAGTTTCTTGAGAAAGCTTCCATCAGGAAGGTCCTTTAAGCCATCGTGAACTTTGCTGAAATTCAGCTCCCACCTTCATTCAACAGACTTTTAATTGCACCAGTCGCTATACCGTTCCGGGTCGTTCATATTATTATTATTATTATTATTATTATTATTATTATATTATTTTTATTACTATTATTATTATTATTCATACTACTTGCACCTTTTCAGAACTGCACCACAGCCGGAGCAGCTTCCCAACAGCAAAATCACCATGTTCATCATGACAACCACCATCACCGGAAATTCTCTCGGTTGACGGTCACCTGTGCAGATGGGTCCCCACCGGAATACAGTCTGTGAGTTCTCTAATGACCCTAAAAATATGGTCATTCTCCGTTTTCATTCATTTTTTCCCACTCAGGCAACTGAGACCTTGATTAGAATACCCTTAATGAATGGGGCTCAAAAAAAATGTCGACAGGGACCACTCTGAGGAATTAATTTAAGGAGTGATTTGGGATCTTCACTATGACAGACGTTACAGATGACAGATGAGGCTTCGTATACGCTCCGTTTGCGGCAGGACCTACCCTTCCTATCTAGACGGTAGACTCCGCAGAGATGGTTCAATACTAGCTCAGAATCCAAGCAAGGAGGCATCTGTATTGAAGCAGGGTACAGATCTAGAAATAGTGGCTACCTACCATTTTTTATATGGTCCAGACCGGATTTCTCGATTAAACAACCCAACACTTTGTCACCCGATAGCCTGTACAGAACCGGAAAAACGCAAGTCACTGCGGACCACTTCTTAGGGTTTGGCAGTTTATCACGCCTTTAACCAGAGCTGACTTTCCATTCCAGAAGAAAATAGTCGCGTACGTGAATCGGGGCAAGGTAAACATCATGGGGTTTGTTTGGATACGATAACTATAACAAACCATTGAAAACATCAACAATCAATGGAAAAACTTTGTGTTCGGGAAGTTTTTTCGGGGATACTCTCCGAGTAGGCTACTCAACCTCTGTAAGGAAAGGCTCTTTATGGCTTCTCTGTCGCAGAAAAATTGGAGCATTTCAGGGTTAGGGCCCTACCGTTTGCAGGCGATTTTCAACCTTGCAAACTTCCCTGACAGCTCGTTCCTTTTAGAGACTAGGGTTCGGGTTAGATGGAATTCCAATGAGACCTGGTATTCTCGTAGGGAAGTTTCAAGCTTCCATCCCAAGTGGCTACGTTGCTCGTAGTGGTGTGGTTATAGTTTGTCCTTCGATCATTTCAACAGGCGGTCACGAATGTTTGCCGTCCCGACACTCCGGGGGCTTTCACCTAATTGCAACGGCTTCTCGTCGGCAAAGAGGGGGATGACGCGGGATGAGACTCATCGAGAATTAGATAGTGTTTCAGGTGAATTCCCAAATTAAATATATGAGATTTCAATGGTCTCCCTTTCAGACACGGTTCTACTTACTGCTGGTCCGATGCGGTCTGCCCTACTGGTAACTCTTGCATACAGGGACTTTGCTGCCGTACTGGAAGTGAGTATTACTTCTTTCATTTTTTCTCTGATTGCCTTTGACTTTCACCCTTTGCTTACCCGTATGCTTTGCCTTCTACCTATCGCTTTTGTAGTAAATTTTTCGACCTGTTAATCCTAACACCGTTCCAAATATTCTGTTTCTATTTGCGGAACGAGGCGGATGATACAGTCTCCTTGTTTAAATATGGGCAAACCACGGCAGTTAAGAATAACATGGCAGTTCCTGAACATAGATCAGTGGGAATTCTTAACGGAAAGTTGAGCTGTTACTTGGTAGAAGCAGTATGGATTAGGTTAGAAGGCTCAGTCAGGACCATCTGTATGATTAGTGACCATGGCGGTATGCAATCTGTACTTGTAAATTGATATTGTGGTATCGTAGAAACTAGGATTTTTTATTTATCCACAAGCTGGGATAATTATCTCCTTGCAACTCACCCATATGAAAATGTGCTGCTCATTGTCTGCGTAAGCTAGGGCTTTGGTGGGAAACAACTTTAGCCCTCACCTGGAATCCCAATGGAGTGAGAGCGAGTTTTGGCTTTTTGTATCAAAATTATACCGTTTTGGATGATCAGTCTACTAATGTAACAGCTAGGCCTGCTAGAGTTGAATCTTCACTCGAAAATTCATTTCCACCGGTCGACTCCATTACCCAGCTATATAGCGCCCCATAGCATCTCCCATACCTGCGATTAACTTCGGAAAATGAAAGGACCACAGCATTCATGATTTCAGGTCATTCCGTGGTACACCCTGAACCACCTACAAATAAAGAAATGCCCTCTTCCCATTCTGATCGGCCTTACTTCTTGGTCAGTGCAATGCATGCTCTAAATCTGACCGAATGATTCCAAAATGACCTCCCACTTTCCCAGTTTTCCACTGATTTCTTTGGAAATCGAACGACTAAAGGAGAGTCATGATGTCTACCTGAAACGTCGGCAAATTCCTCAACGGAGGAGGATTCCCAGCGTGCAAAATTTCTGATCATCGCGTACAGTGCAAACACATTCCAGTCGTACGTTTTCATCGTAAATTCCCCACTCTCTAGAAGAAGTTCACCCTCACCCCTGTGATGTTTGTCGTCTGAGTGGCGAATTGCTTTTTACTAATTCTCGGTTAGCAATTTGGCGGATATCTGACTTTGATCGAGCTTTTTAACTTACTGCACTCAACTATTTACATAAACTAAACGGAGAACTAAAAGAATCGAATGAAAAAAATGTTTGGCCTCACTCTAACCGCTGACACCACCCGTCCACCAGCGGGATGCTCACTCCACATCAGCTCAAAGACAAAGAGAAGTTTCGAGAGTTGGAGAAATTTAGTAAATGCACGTTGAAAGGGCAAAACTCTTTGTAATGAGAATATATTATTATTAGTCGTGTTTCTTGGAGGGGAGCTTCTTCTTTTCGCTGTCTTTCTTCCGTCGAAGGTCGTTCCATCGATCAACTTCCATGGATACGTTCGCATTGAAATATCCAAGTGTGAACAATATAAGTACGAACCCTCTGAAAAAGAAGATTTTGGGAAATATGCTTTTATAAAGAAGGCTGACCACCCTTACAGCTTCTATGTAGACGTAATTTTCCTAGGCAACCAAGCCTTCGCTTTCTAGGCGGCGATCGTTTGCCTACCCTTGGCAAAAGGCTTGGGTATGCAGAAAAATGCTGTCGGTTTACTTGTTAATCAACAAGCCAGAACTTGCTCCAAAACCCCTGGATCTAAATTCATTTGGGGGCTTCCCAAATGGGCCAGCTAACTGCATTTGCTTGATCACAAGTTTTTTTTGTAGAAGGCCACATTATATACAGAACAGTTATTAACTAGAGGGAATTACAAGAAGAGCTAACAGTGTAACTCAGAATTCTCTGAAGGGAACCCAGTTTGATCCTATGAGGAGAGGAATTGCATTTCAGGATGAGATGGAATGAGTTGTACTGGTAACTAGCTCGAATAGCTCTTTTCAGATTTCTAAAGTCCTCCTTCTTTTTCCTGTCTCTGACCCACTCCACTTCCTCTTCCTTTGTCGGCGCTTTTTTGGATAGCTGGGCTGTTTGCTGGCGTGCATAAGCTCTCGAGATCTGTTTTCAGCTGCTTTATGAGCGTGCCCTTCCTTCTGACGTCTCACCGACTTCCTATTCCTTTTCTTTTGTTTTTGCTTTTCCGAAAACTTGGATAGTGCGACGCATCGTAGTCGCAGGTAGGAATGCAGCGGGGTCCTTATAAAGATCGACGCCATGTATGACTCTGATAATTTGGTGTCGATTGGGATAGGCTTTGTGACCTGGGATTCAGAATCGGAACGTCTTCGCATAAACAAGCGCCACAGTATCTTGATACAAGCATGGCTACGTGGAAAAGGGCTCCGTTGTCACTGCCACCTCCTGGATTTTCCACTTGAGTACGTTCCTTGCCCTCCCCATCCTCGACTCTCCCATCTATTCAAGCTTTCAAAAGGAATCGGAGCTGATCGGAAAGGGAACAAGGAAAGGTAAGGAGGGAGGGATATCAAAAAATCTCGCGGAACCTATATGTTCTGTCTCCGTAATCTACTACAGTTGGGTGGAGGGTTTGAAAAATGAAATGTAAAGCTCACCTCAAAGGAATGGTCTCCTCATCGAAGATACGTTTAACAAATAACGCTCCTACTTCGGATCCACCCAGGAAGTAGATATTCGAATAGAGTCCAAATGCAAAAGGTACAATCTGTAGGAGAGCGAGAACTCGGCGGAAGTTCACGTCGCTGATGACTTTCTCTCGCCAATGTCGGAACGACTCCACCCCGTATAGCGCCTTGGAGCTCATCTCTAACAGCAAGGATATGATGTTCAGAATTATCCATACCTAAAAATATAATATATGATTCTATATAAATAAGAACTTTTGCATGGGAACAGCTAGTTTAAAGGCGAACTCATGGATCATAATGGTCATGGAGCGATGGACTTTCAAAGAAGTTAGGCGCCGCACAATTATAGACTTCAATGAAAACGGGACAAATTGCTACCAAAGCTTCAAAACTTCTCTGAATATTCTTCGGGGNGGGGGGGGGGGGGGGGGGAGGTATAGTGGATCGACTGATAGAGGACAGAATCTTTGCCACTAGACTTTGTTGAGTCTACCGTTCTCCAGGGGAGGACGAAAGTGGGGTAGTGGGGTAGTGCGGTTTGTCTGCTGCATCTTCAGGTAGGCATGGGGTACAAATAGGGATTCACCTGAGCTAATGATGCCTTTTATCCTCCCGAGCTCGATACTACCAGGTTCGTCTGAATGAGTTTAAGCGCTATATATATACAAATTGGTTATTTCGGTGATGTAGTGTTCCTGCCAATGGATCTGCAGTTAGAGCGTTGGTACCCATGTGTGATCATGGCGTCGCTGATAGAACGGTGGTACGGTGGGCTCACAAGTAAGGTGATAAGTTGGTATTCTGATGCTTTTGGTCGTTTTCCATTTCCGTAAACTTTCTGTCGAACACTTGCAAGATCCCCACAGCTGCAACCCATACTCTCCCACAGAACGTTTTCTTGGAGTGCCATACAAACCTTAATTGATCCCCAAAGGGCGTGCTTCTATCCCAGCTGTTGATAGGAATCGAATCTTCGGTTGTCCAATGCACTGTGAGCTGAATTTGCTCAAGTTATTCAGCCGATCAGAGTGCTCTGTGGAAGAATTTCACACCTGACATTTGGGCTAGAAATGCTTTTGTACTACTGGACTGCGACTATTTTCGACCCATATTGTCCATCAATAAAAAAGTCTTCAGCAAGGAAAATTTTTAACATTGCGACCAAAACTTGAAGAAAACCCTGCCATGTTTCCGTCCGGATGAGACAAGAAGTAATAGGATAAGGAGGTCGAGGTGGTCTGAGTTGAATGATCACGATCTCCTTCAGCCCTGATGAATCCCGCGAACGATATCAAATTGTGAGCAGAGTTTGCTCTCAACGATTGGAAGCATGCACCTCCTCCCTGCACTCGCAAAATGAAAGATGGCGACGTGTACATCCGTACTATGAAAGTGGAGCTCACGGAGGGAAACATAAGTTTGAGATCATCTTCTCTCTCGTCTTACTCCACGTTTCTAGCAACGAAAAGGTACGAGATTCTTCTGGAGATGTGGTGCTACAGACATCTTCACTGCCATCAGGAGACCATCGTGAAACAACCATGTCGACCATGACGAAATCGTTTTGTACAGCGACAATAGCATCCTGTCGTGCGAGAGTGATTCTTTATGTTGCTATCCTCTGGAAATAGCGGGGACCACCTGCTGGATCGATGGTTTTTAACGCTTCGCCAAGATCACCGACTCTGCCAGTGCCCGTTGAAGGAATTTGGTGTGTGCAACACTGTGACAGCTCTATTATAGAAATGCAGCGAGCCTTCCGATCCCTCCTTAGCCAACTTCTAGTATTTAGTAATTCCGCGGTACTTGAATGAGAGCAAGTTTCTCTAAAAGTAAGAGAGGTCGGAACGGAAACACTTCCGCAACAGTGTTTCCAGGATCGCTCCGCAGATTTAGAACGAAGATTCGAGGTCAGCGTTGAAAACACACACGGCGGTATATGTCTCCTATAGAATGGAGGCCGTAGCGTAAGAAATTCCTTTCAGATTCACTTCCTACAATGAAAGACTTTTTCTTCAGCTTGTCCCTCACTTGACAAAGCTCTTGCGTGCCCACTTGTGCTNGAAAAAGTCTATAACTCTGCTTCAGCCAATTCAGCCTGATCTTCAGACTGAACTGGGAAGCGTAAGCGCCGGGATGGCTTCCCAAGAAAAAGCCTTTCTAGTGCTCATTTACTTCTTACAATGGTAGACTTTTTCTTCAGCTTGTCCCTCACTTGACAAAGCTCTTGCGTGCCCACTTGTGCTAGTTATGCAGGTAATTATAAAACGGGTAGTACAAACACGAAAAACTAACTCCTGTTGAAGGTGGCCAACAAGAGGCCAAAGTGGGTGAAGGATGTGCCGGGTAATGAAAAAAGAATGAGGTTAAGAGTAGAGAATAACTTACTATGTTGTGGTGGTAGAAACCATGCCAGAGCAGAACAAACGAGTATGAGACGAATACTCCGAAAACCTTCCGTGGTAACGAAAATGTGGGGGCACAAATTGGCACAAAAATGTAAGTTTTGAAGAACTGGTAGAGCCCACGGTCAAACTCTCGCCAGACCTATAATTAAAAGCTTGAGGAACATTTAACATATTCAGAAACGGCCTTTCTGTGAACCATTTTCCTAGCATTCCCGAGATTATCGGATTTCACGAAATTCAAGCAATTTAAGTGGCAGCGATTTGAGTTAGACCTGTATATCTAAACACTTTTTCATATAATTACGTCGACAAAGGTACCTTGGAGAAGAGCATGACCCGTGAGATACAAATAGGTCCAGGTTGAGGGTCCATGTTGTCGAATCGAGCAAATACTGATGGCAAACCGAATATGATTACATATTTCAAATGGAAGAATATTCCTGAAATTCACGAAGCATAGGCATGCCTCTTACAAGTACTTGAGTAGGAAAAAGTTCCTCTTGAGGAAATTGGCCCGAGGGACGGGTACGAAGTTAAGGAGGCGGAATTATGATCCAAGCAAGAGCTGTGCCGGACTGTTGGCTAGGAGAATACGCACCTACATCTTTAGGGGTAAAGGAAACAGTAACAGCCGGTCCTTCAATCGAACAAAGAACTATAGAATGGGAGAAAAAGAAGTAATTTTTTTCAAAAAAAAGCTTTAAAGGCACAGTTCACGATAAAAATGATTCCTGAGATTTATCCTTAGGATGAAGTTGAGGCCCCCTCGTATATCGCATCTAGCGCTATCAGGTCGGAAAGGGCCTGGTTAGGGCGTTATGAGGACCCAAAGATTGTCCCGTGTATATCCTCGGACGAGTTCACCGGCATTGCAGAGGCTATATCATTCGCAAGGGAACCCATATAGGAGACCCAAAGGACTCGTCATGACCCATAGCGACAGTGAATGGTAGTTCTGTACAGTTCTGGCCTGATGAAGTCAGCTCTTTGAGCAATTGCAGTAAATGAAATTTCGTCCGAATACCTCTTCCATGTTATTTCCTTCATGGCAATCTCGTCCAACCTCTATTTAACCTACTTCTTAGGAGCCTTATTTTTCCCAAAACTGGCGAATTTCCTCGCTTTTTTCACTACCGATAAACTATTCCTAACCTGTACTTTAGCTTTTTAAATAACAAGGGGTACCTCAAAATTATCGTGAACTGTGTCTCTAAATAGCGCCACATACTTAAATTCCTTACTGAGCCATGCGAGCGATTGTTGCCACCGATGTTGTGGAGTGGAAAGCCTTTACTCATTTATGGGAACCAAGCACGATTGATACAGTTCTAGCCTTTTAAATTGCTTTATTACCTTACACGTGTAAAGTAGTTAAGAATAACCAGCAAAAAGAATGTCCCTCGTTGAAACTTTCGCTCTGTCAATGTTATAAAGGTGTCGGGTTTGAAAAATTGTGCTGTTCTATTAGTAAAAAGGTTTAACAAGTTTCGAATATCTATCTTCTATCACTTAAAGGCACGTTCACGATGAAAATGGTTTCTGAAATACCACCATAGAATGAATTTTAAGCCCCCTCATATACCATATCCGGCCCTATCAGATAGCAAAACGGCCTAGTTAGGGCGTTATTAAGACTCAAAGATTGTCAGGTGGGTATGCGCGGACGAGTTTCAACGGCATTGTGGGGGTTGCACCATTCACAAGATAACCCATGTAGGAAGTTCAAGCAGCTTGTCATGACCATTAGCGACAGTGAAAGGCAGTTCTGTACAGTTCTGGCTAGATGTAGTCAGCTCTTTGTGCAATTGCAACAACTGAAATCTCGTCCAAATACCCCTTACATGTTATTTTAGTCATGACAATCTCGTCCAACCTCTATTTTCCCCAGTTTTGAGGGGCCATATTTCTCTCAAAATCAGCGAATTCTCTCGCTTTCTTCACTACCAATGAACTATTCCCAAACTATGCTTCCGAGAAAGGGTACCTCAAAATTATCGTGGACTGTGCCTTTAACTATAAGCCACGCCAGTAGTAGGCATGCCCTTCAGTGGATTTTTAATAAGCTTTCTTTTAACAAAGCCCCTCTGAAATTCCCGGGAAAGGAGTCGATCGTATGGGTGGTTACATAAGCTCGATTGAGACGTGACAGTGAATTCTACGTGAAGATGAACCGTTTTTTCTTAATGAAAGAGTATAATACCGAGGATGAGTGAACAGATAGTTTAGAATGTTCTCCTTGCAAATTACCAATTTCTATCACTTTCAATGATTCTAGAATTGCTGAATCGTAAAGGGCAGGTATGGAAGAAGCTACGCGTAAAGGGCAAGATGACTGCAGAACCAGTTCTGTAGTCCACTAGCAAGGGAAAAAACGATTCTCTCCTTAAACGTCATGAACAGGAACTTAGTTGTAATAGACTGAGCGTTGGCGTATTGTTCCGGTATGATTTATTATTGTAGTTAATGAAAACCATGTCAAGATTTATAGAGAGTCGAATTTGGGCAGTCGTTCCATTAAATTCATCACTTCGAGCCCCTTTAGGGGTTCGAATTAAGCAGGAATATAAAACCAAATCCTAAGCGGTTGCTAAAAGCACCCTGACACGTTTGCAGTTCTCCTGGGAGTGTGACCCGTCACTGATAACCGACTTTTCTTCAGTCGCAGGCTGATTTTTCCCTGTAGTGATACCCTTGCTTTGGGACGACAAAAGTCCGTGGCTCGGAAATCGACGTTACAGCCCGTTACAGTTTATGGTTCAGGTAGAGAATGCATACCTCCACGTGGAAACTACTATTGTAGCACCTTGGGTAAATAAAACCCAAGGATTACTCATAAGAGGGCAACCGTGGGTTTAGTTCCGAAGAAAATTCGTCTCAAAAATAAAACAAACTTCTCGAAAAACTCACCTAAAGTCAGTCCCAATGCGAAGTAAGTGTCCTTTGAAAGAGCTTCAGAATATCCAATATTCCGGAGAATGGGTAAATAAAACCCAAGGATTACTCATAAGAGGGCAACCGTGGGTTTAGTTCCGAAGAAAATTCGTCTCAAAAATAAAACAAACTTCTCGAAAAACTCACCTAAAGTCAGTCCCAATGCGAAGTAAGTGTCCTTTGAAAGAGCTTCAGAATATCCAATATTCCGGAGAATGGTTTCGTGGTACATAAAATGCACTGCCAGTTCCAGAACACCCCACCAAAAGGTGATCCTTAAAGCGAACCAGAGACTACCCAGTAGGTCCCTGGGCTTCTGTTTTCGTTCAGCGATCTGACGCTCGAAGTCCGAGTAGAGTACGATCAGGGAAAATAGGTAGGGTTGATAGAATGTATAGAACATCATTCGAAGGTATCGTTTTGCCACGGTGTTGTCCTCCTTCCTCACAGGCTTCTCGATAGTATCCATACAGTAGGAGACATAGCTCAGCATACTGTATGATACAAAAGTGTAGATAAGGAAGGGATTGTCGGAAAGCATCATTGAGTGATGCATTATTATGTGAAGAAGTGGTAACGAGGCGAGCCATATGAACAATTTCCGCCTGAAATTGTGCTTTAATTCTGGAAAATTGTATTTTAATTTTGGGAAATAAATTTTAATATTGAGAAAACACTTTGACAGGTCATTTCCGCTTGACATTGAAAGATTACAATCTTTGAACGGGCTGAAAGAGAAGGCGTAATGGTTTTGTACGATATAGCCCACCAATCTCCCTTTACATCGAATCCCTTTAGAAACAATTGGGCCTCTGTTTGGACTGATTGGCTTATTAGGCCCATTTCAAGTTCAGCTGGTTAGTTAAATGGACTTAAAATCGTGTAGGAAGCAAAAAGTTGACGTTAATGTTATGGGAATCAGCGACCATCGTCAGGATAAGCTAAGCATTTGGCTGTTTCCAGTTTTTTGATAGAACACGGATATGTGGCTCCTCCTAGAAAGTTTTCGATTCCCTTTTTTCCATTCCCTGGCATATCTTTCTTTTTGTGCACTAATCGTGATGTTTTCCCCGATTTAATAGATGAAAAGTCGTCTTTAAGTGGCACACTTTGAAATTAGGTCGCCCACTTCCGAAGCCTCTTATCCTACTACATCGGATACTGTCAAAATCGGTTCAATATGTAGATTAGTGGTAACTAGTAAAGGGCAGTAACTAGTGAAGCTAATCACAGTTCACCTTGTTTTTACCCTTTCTTCTAGAAATTTACCCTCCAAGGATACCAATTCTTTGCCAGATTTCGCTAAGGAATAAACAAAAAAAACGGAATTCAGTGATT